CATTACTGGCGTGAGGCCGCACAAATCCCAGCTGGTGACAGCAAAGGCCCAGCCACACTGCTTGGTGTGAGCATGGCACCATGGCATGCTTCAGCCTGGCCACCCACTGCAGGGGAGCAGCCCCTGTGGTGCCAGGGTGCCGTGGTCACCTGGTGATGGCCACTATGGGGACACCCACCAGGCCACCCTACAGCTGGTGCCACCACAGTGGCTCTGGCATGAGACATGGAGGCCCCACTGCCCAGGCACCGTGGGTGCCCTGTAATGACCAATAGTGGGTCCGGGCTCTTTCGCCACCATTGAGGCAGCTGGTCTGTGCCATCTCATGGTGGTGGTGACTCTGCTCCATAGCACCCAGCAACTCCAAAGTGGTGGGGATGGGCACCCAACTGCAGCAGAACCAGAGCAAGAAGTGGCAGAGCTGGGGACAGTGGCCCCAAAACCCTCTGGGGTGCCCCACAGGCAGCTATCCCACATCCGGGAGCGCCATGCCAGGAGCAATGCCTGCGGGCACACCTTCCCTGCCTGCACCCATCCCTATCTGCCTGCACCATGCTGCTGCCTTCTTCCTGGTTTCCTACCCTGTGGTGCCACCATGCTCCTGACCCGAGCTCTTGTGGCACTGGGTGACAGCCACCACTTCCCCATGTCCCACCAGGCAGCCCCCAAAGGCTAAAGCAGCAAACATAGGGCTCCCACCAGCATGGCCGGGACCAAATCCAGTGGGGCTGTCATTGCTGGGTGACAGTGGTGGTGGCCAGGACCTGGCAGTGCTGGTGACAAGGACCTGGCGGGCTCTTAGCCCCCTCCCAGCAGCCACATTCCTTTGGAACTTGTTCCGCAGGGTCCTGTGCGGGTGCCAAGGCAAAGGCATCTGGGTTGGGTTTTTCCTGGTCATGCCCTGCTTTGCTCTGGCTCCAAGTCAACAAGGAGCTAAAAAGAGGATTTGATGACAACCTCCGGTGCTCCCCCAGTGCCACCAGTATCCCCAAGCACCCCATGCTGCCAGGGAGGATCCTGCAGAAAGCCAGGAAGGGGGAAGAAAGAGGAAGCAAAAGCAAGTGAAAAACGACCCAATTTAATCCCAAAGCCTCCCCAGCTCCAAGGTCTCGGGAGCACCCTGGTGTGTCCCCCCACCCTGGGCAGCCTGGGGGGCCCCAAGCTGAGCACACCCCTGGGAGCACCCCATGGTTCTCCGCTCTGGCATGGGGAGAAGGAGCTTTCCGAGGCGTCCGGCCTCTTCCTCAGCTCCGCCAGCACCCAGCCGTATCCCACCACCCTTGCCCTAGTGCGGCCACCCACAGCCCTTATGGAGGTGCCCTGATGAAGACCATCTTGGTGGAGTAGGCCAGGTCCACTAGGTAGGCGATGAGGTTGAAGATGGTGAGGAAGGTGACCCCCAGGTGCTTGTTCCACCAGCAGTTCCTGTTGCAGTTCTCAGGGCGGGTCCTCCCTCTGAAGCTGTAGAGGGGCCAGAGGATGGTAGCGGTGATGTACATCATCAGGGCCAGAGCGTTGTAGACCACCAGCATCTTCTCCAGCGGGCAGGGGATGTAAGTGAGGCACCGGCCAATGGTGAAGATGATGATGAGGAGGGTAACAATGAAGCAGATGGAGTAGACAGCCACACACCACTGCAGGCCAGCTTCTGAACTGAAGGTATCCAGCAAGGAGAAGATGAGACAAGCCACGTAGGCTTCAAAGACCTTGAGGAGCCCAGGCACAGTGGAGAGGAAGCTGCTGATGTCCCCCGGCTTGGCGCGGACCGGCCAATGGTGAAGATGATGATGAGGAGGGTAACAATGAAGCAGATGGAGTAGACAGCCACACACCACTGCAGGCCAGCTTCTGAACTGAAGGTATCCAGCAAGGAGAAGATGAGACAAGCCACGTAGGCTTCAAAGACCTTGAGGAGCCCAGGCACAGTGGAGAGGAAGCTGCTGATGTCCCCCGGCTTGGCGCGGGTGAGCCCCCCCTCG